CCCCCCCCCCCCAGTATTCCCGGATTTTTCCCGCTTTTTCCCCAGGTTTTTCCCAGAATTCCCATTTTTTTCTCCCATTTTTTTCCCTGATTTCCCCCAGAATTCCGGGATTTTCCCCCCGAATTCCGGGAATTCCCGGATTCCCCCGGAATTCCGGGATTTTTCTCTGATTCCCCCCGGAGTTCCGGGATTTTTCCCAAATTTCCCCCCGGAATTCCCAGATTTCCCCCTGGAATTCCCAAATTCCCCCCCGAATTCCCAAATTCCCCCCAGAATTCCAGGATTTTTCCCAGATTTCCCCCAAAATTCCCAGATTTCCCCGGAATTCCCAGATTTCCCCGGAATTCCCGGATTTTTCCCGGATTTCCCCGGAATTCCGGGATTTTTCCCAGATTCCCCCCAGAATTCCCGGATTTTCCCCGGATTTCCCCGGAATTCCCGGATTTTTCCCGGATTTCCCCGGAATTCCGTGCTTTCCCCGCACCTGTGCAGCCGCAGCAGCGCCCGCCGGTGCCGGAGGTGCCGGAGGCTGAAGAAGAGGGAAAATCTCCGGCCCAGATCCCGAATTTCCCGGAATTCCGGGAGCCCCCGCACGTCGGGGCCCTCCTGGAGCAGCAGCTCCGTGAAAAGCTGGGAAAATAAAAAATTCTTGGAATTTTTTGAGGAATTTTTTGGGATTTTTTTTGGATTTTTTTGGGATTTTTTGGGAATTTTTTTGGGATTTTTTTGGATTTTTGGGGGATTTTTTGGGGATTTTTTTGGGGAATTTTTTTGGGATTTTTTTGGATTTTTTTGGATTTTTTTTGGATTTTTTGGGAATTTTTTTTTTATTTTTTTGGGATTTTTTGGGAATTTTTTGGGATTTTTTGGGAATTTTTTTGGGATTTTTTTGGGATTTTTTGGGAATTTTTTTGGATTTTTTGGGATTTTTTTTGGATTTTTTTGGGATTTTTTTGGAATTTTTTTGGATTTTTTTGGGATTTTTTGGGAATTTTTTGGGGAATTTTTTTGGGGATTTTTTTGGGATTTTTTGGGAATTTTTTTTGATTTTTGGGGGATTTTTTGGGAATTTTTTGGGATTTTTTCGGATTTTTTGGGGATTTTTTGGAATTTTTTTGGGAATTTTTTTTGGAATTCTCTTGGAATTTTTTTAGGGATTTTTATTTTTATTTTTATTTGGAATTTCTTGGAATTCTCTTGGAATTTTTTGGGAATTTGGGGGGGGGGG